AAGTTTATCAATTTAATAGACTCATTCAGCAGTGGATACATTTGCTCAACTATACTGATTGGGTCTGTACAACTCAGTATTTCACAAGAAAAAGAAAAGGGCGAGGGTTTTAGGCTCCTATCTCCTCATCAAAATTGCGTTTGAGCAGCCCGGCTTCTCGAGCGCGGGGCATCCGCTCAGAAAAAAATGTAAGTCGAGGAAGGTAATCAGATAGATTTGAGCGCCGGCTTCTCCTTCGTGTGCCCTGAATTCGCTTCGCCTTGCCTCTCCGCCACCTGCGCTCTGCATATGCCTCCGAGATGCAGACCCTCTTCGGGCATACCAGGTTTCCCAGAGGCTGACAACCCAGCCTCTATCTAACTAACCCGGCTGCCGACAGGAGGGCAGCCAGTTGCGAGCACAGAGGAGGGAGGCGGAGGGAGGGGAGAGGGAGCCCGCCTCCTCTTTCCCCCCTCCCCCCCTCCCCCGAGGTTGGACGGCGGTAGTGGCTCTGCAGGCGGCAGCGGCGGTATCATTTCGGGACCGGGCGGCTGCTCGGTCGCTTATCTCCCATCCGCTACTGGAAGGGCCCGGGCATGTCCCCAGCCGAGAGGTAGTTGCTTCGCTTATTACCGCCGCGCCCCCGTGCGCCCGCTTTCCTCGGTTCGCTCCCGCATCATGCTTGGGCAGAGCCGCCGGGGGTTGCTGGTGCTGCTGCCGTTCTCCGCGCTCCGCGGCGCAACCCCAGAAAGGCGCCCGGCTGCTCCGGAGCAGTTGAGCTCTTTTCTTTCTTTACCGGCTGCTCCGGTTCCAGCGCAATAACGATGAGGCGGCACCGGTACTTGCTGGAGCGCGGCGCTGCGGACGCCCCGGCCGAGGCTGAGGGCGAAGGCTGCGGGGCCCCCGAGGGCTCGAAGCGGGGCCCTCTGTGCGTGTGCTGCTGCCGCCGCCGCCGCCCCCACCGCGACTGGCTTTACGAGTCGTACTATTGTATGAGCCAACAACACCCGCTGCTTGTCTTCCTGCTGCTCATCGTGATTGGCGCCTGCCTAGCTCTGCTCGCCGTCTTCTTTTTCGCCTCCGGGCTGGTAAGTTGCCTGTAGCTTAGAGTGGCGCTCTTTGGCGGGCAAAGAAATTGACCGCTACCTCGAGGAAGCGTCCCTCCTGCCCTCCAGAGTCCCAGACAGACTTGCGGGAGGTGGGCTTCCGTTTCACTGTTAAGAGCCGCCGAGTTGTTGCTCCGAGAAGTAATACCGGACCCGCCGACTGGCTCAGCTTGGGTCCTCCAGGCCTCGCTCAGGATTTACCCCGCTAGAGTTTAGCAGAGAAAGGAGTTTGAGGCTTTGCCCTCGGTCTGTTTTAACGGTGCCCCAGTACATGCGGCCCCAAGCGCTGGCCCTTGAGCATTGTTTTTTTTCAAGCCCTTCGAAACTTTTAAATACAGAATTTCCCACCGTCTTCAAATATTAAGAAATCAAGTGACCATTTATTTTATTTTAAGAAAGGATTGATTGTGAATTGGTAACGTCATCCTTGTCATTATTTGAGTTATTGTCTAAAGCTCCTTATTTTTTCATTTTTCAGCTATTGTATTGTGTATCACATCTATGGAAAGTTTCTGGTTTTCAGAATGTTGATATGAAGGCAAACGCTAAAGCTGTCATCATATACCTTAATGGTATTAATTTTTTGAATATCTGGATCCAAAGCCAATTAAAGATATATTTGAGGGAAATGCAGTTAACCCTGGGGTTGCTTAAGTTCAATTTCATTCAGTTTTGTTTTACACTTTGAAAAGTTTGTATAGCACTCACTGTTTTAATGGCACTACTTTAGTATTAGAAGCACTCATTCTTCCAAACATATTCAGGTCTGAATTTATTATTTGTACTCCAGAATCTGCGCTCTTTGTCCCTTTTTCATTTTTATATCTGATTCCTGCACAAGGGCTACAATCAGTTGTAGTTATTGCTGAGTTTTCACATGGTTTTGCCTCTCTTTAAAGCAAGGAGTGGCTTCCATGCCCTGCAATCTTTAATTGTTTGAGTTGTTGTTTTTTAAGCTGATTTTCACTGCAGCCTCCTTTTGATTTGCAAGTCAATATTATTTTATGCGATCATTTCTGTAACTTGTACAGTTCATGTAAATAAAAGAGACTATGCAGTTATTTCCAAGGGTAATTATGTGGTTCTTTTACTGTGCTTGGTCCTGTTAGTTGCCAGTTTTGTTAGTGGAATATACACATAGTAACGATTTGATCATCGGCCTGGCTCCTTGGAAATAAGTCTCATAGATTTCAGTGAAGTTCACAGCCAAGTAACTGCTTAGGCTTTCAATCCAAATTTAATTCTTCTAATTCATTTGCTTGGTTTCTCTCCTGCTGACAGATTAACCTTGTTGGCATTTGTTGTCTAAGTGACAAGAGTTTTAAAGCTATACAAATCTTTAGTATCCACTTTTTAAAATGTTTTCATCCCAAAGCAGTGAAAAAGACCATCTCTCTTTTTTCTCGGTATATATGGCCAAACAGCATGCCCTATATATTGCAAGGCTCTGTTAAGTTTTAAGAAACCCCAGGGTTTGCAGAAATTGTCCTCAGGAAGATCTCTTAAGGAAAGGTTACCTCTGAATAAACTGGTGAAAAATTAGTGTCACTTTCATTCAAAGTTTATTTCACTTAAAGACCGGAATTGAAGAAAACAACCAAGAAACTGTTTAAAAGTAGGAGAGCTAGGCTAGATATGAAACTCAAGCTAAAAGGCTAGAAGAGAATATTATAAATATTAATAGTATTTAACGCTAGTGCCACTTCTCAGTATAAACTGTGTTTCTAGAGCTAGGAAGAAGAGCATTATTTTGAGTGTCTTCAATGGCCACAGACTTTGGATTGCAGGGGGAACCTAAAAACAGAGAGGATGGAATTACCGTAAGTATCCTGGAGAAGATCGTAACTGACTGACTAGGACACTGAACAGAAATAGTCAGTGCTACAATCCACTTTTTATATATACTTGCTCTAATTATTTCATGCAATTAGAAACCTTTTTTTTCAAATTGTCTGTTCTATATATTAGATTGATAATATTATAAACTCATAATTTTCAGCAGAAAGGAAAGTATGCTGAGGGATACTTTTGGCCTCATTCTGGTAATCCCTATGCTTGCTACTTCTGTTTGTATTGCAAATAGGAATTCTGATAAAGCAGAAGCCTTGAGCTTTGGAGAGTTCATGTGAACATGACTGAATTCTATGCCAGACAATACTGCTCAAACAAAAACTGGCATGGAAAGATGGGGATGTTAAAATCAGGACCAGCATGGACATCCTATGCTCTTTTCAGTATGCAAATACTGGGCACAACATCAAAACTAAGCTCCATGCTCCTCTATTTAAAAAAAAACAGGGGAGTTCTTCCTATAGCATTGACATATATACAAGTAGGATTATCCCAAAGCTTGATGTTCAGGAAAATAAGTAGTATAATCATTGGCTAATACTGTAACCTAAAATAAAATGCTAGAAATTTGGGGGCTGCTTGTTTTCTTTCTATAAAAAATAATATCCTATCTTTCTAAGGCTTGTGCACCACTCACTTTTTGAATGTTTTCATGTTTAGAGTGAAAATCTCTGAAGACTATTTGATAATTTTAAATAAAGAGGATTGTCTTATTGCAACCAAGACGAGATCTACACTGGAGTATTTTTGTGCATCAAATGCTGACACTATTCTATCAAAATACAGTTGCTCCTCAGGAGGAGCCTATAATTAATACAATATGATGCTAGCTGTGGTTTAAATAGCACCAGCACACATAATCAATCCATAGCAGGAGAAACAGGAGACGTTAGAAAAATGAAGGAATGTTAATAACCTAGAGGACTACATTTGTGTGCTCCAAATGCTGCCATGTGCTTTTTAAAAAGCCTATGAAGTATTTGTGAGTGTGGAGATATGCACAGAAACAGAGTTTGAAAAAATATGCAGTTGTTCCTTTTCACGTCTCTCTCTCTCTCCCCCCATAAATCAGAGATCTCTTTAGTTTTTCAATTGCCCTAGTCACAATTCCAAGTTGGTGGGCGGTGTCTGTCAACACAGCCACATTCTGAACTCACTCCCAACAGTAACAGCTAGAATACTGTAATATTCAAGCTTAGTTTACTCAGCAGTGCATGGTAACTGAAGTCACTCAACAGACCAGCCATAGGGAGGGAGGGTGGGAGGGGATGGACTATTGAGGAACAGTGATATCAGGGAAATTGGAAGATGTCTTGTGAGTCAGTCAGAAGTTCCAGTGATGGGATAAAATGAATGCAGAGATTAGCCCTCAAAAACCCATTCCAGTACTTTTTTAAGATCTGAATTGAGAGACTGAATGTTGCTGATTCTTCTTTCATCCTACTCTATTCCTTTCCATGGGAAAAAATACTTTCTGGATCTTATGTCTAACTTGTTAGGGCAATTTAAATGTTTTCCTGACTCTGAATGTGTCATGAGTGCCCTGAACTGAGAAGCTATTGTGAGGTACGGAAACCAATGTATGCATTGGCAGAAGCTCAGCTGGTTTAGAGAGATATTTTGAATGTTAGAGTTTGGTTTGTCTTTGGCATTCCAAACATGCCATAGGAAGTGGGGGTGAGTTCATTTCTTATATATTTAGGAGGCTTTTTTTCTCACTGGTTAATAACACAAATGGTATGAGGAGCGGGAGAAAGAATTATCCACATATTATTTTGTCCATAACAACAATTTTCTCTTACAGTCAAAAGAAAAGTTGTCCTTGGTTCTGTTTGCCATTATATGATAAATTGGAGATTTAGGGTTACTGGGAAATTTCTTGCTTAAACACTTTTTTGTCTGAGGTACCTCTTACCAAGAAACTATTCATGGTCAAACATTTTTTCAGTCTACATGTCAATCTCTTGTTTACAATACATTGCATAATATATTGCATTGAATATAAATTCAAAGTTATTACTTTGTCATTAGAAAGGTTTAAAACACCAGCTAATGTTTGTAAATTGTGTGGTTATTCATACCATAATATTCTGTTTCAATACATTGATAAAACAAAATTATAAAAATAATGTTAAATTCCTTATTTGCAAAATAGTTTGAAACATTACATTTATTATTATGCAACTGCTATGTAATTTGCAGCACAATTTTCAGTATTTTTAATATTAAAATATAGTGAGAACTTTTTTTGCTTTTTAACAATTCAGTAATCAGTTCAATAATTATCTGACTATTCATTTGGATCTGTAAGTACATGAGACACTTTTCTTATTTTTTTTGTATAAAAATTATTGCAATGTATAAATTTCAGTTTATAATTAATGAAATACCCCATCCCACCCCGTGCAGTTTATACTAATTAAAGCTCATATTAGAACTAGGGATTTTACTTTTGCTCTGATATGCCAAACAAAATAACAGATCATACATAGTAGCCACCTAAAAAATATCTTTCATGAAACCTTTAATCTCTTATAACTGAGCCTGTAAACTAAATATCTATTTAATTCAATGTATTCTACTAGAATAATGGCAAGTCTTATTTATATGCAGAAATGGTATAGAAACAAATCTTCTAAACTTGTGCAATGCAGGAATTCTGCTTTCCCAAATTGGTTTGAGAATTTCCCTTTCAGCTTGACTCATTAGAATATTACATCTTTTAACATATAATTTCTTAAACAATTAAACATTTCATTTCCTAGATCAATATTAGAGAGGAAATTGCAGGTTAGAAATGTGGGACATTCCAATGACAACTCTGAATATTTTTCTTTTGTATTATCCCATTACTTTTTCTACAATGAAGTACATATCCTACCTTTTTATTCTTGATGCAAGAAAAATAAAAACTATTAAGGTCTATTTTAAAGAAGAAATGCTTCAATGTTGAGCATATGTTTTCAAGTGAAAAGAATGAACTCCCCCTGCAGGTTTCCAAAAGTTCCTTATTAACTAAGCATTATATATTATTTTTATTTTCAGGAGCTACTTACTTATACTTGAGATTAATGCATTAAAATCAGGAGGTGTGTGGCCTCATCTCCAGCCTAATTTTGGGAGGGTAACTT